ACTGTCATTGCTTCCAACCTGTCTTATCATGAGCTCTGCTGTTGATCTTGCAGCAGCAATTCCACATAGTCTTTTGGGTTTTGAGACAGGTTAATTTAATAAGTCTTTTGGTTTTTAATTTTTTTTTTTTCCAATAGCATCCACATGTCTGCTCAGGGAACTCTGGCTGTGTTTCCTCACGGCTCAGTGGTGCCTGTAGCTGTGAGCCTCCAGGGTGGATCTCCTGGTCTGTGCAGCTGGAGATGACAGGAGCTTCTAGGCTCCAGGAGCACAGCCTGTGGTTCCTTGCCCCTTAGCAGAGGAACACCAGGGCATTGTGTGTGTGTGTAGGCTTTTCTTAGAAAGGAAAATTGAGCAATAAACATCCACAGAAATGAGGCATTTAAGCATTCAATGTAATTGATACCAGGAAAAAATATGATAGGATGAAATCTATTCCTGCAATAAACTGTCCATTAGTTGGGCCATCAGCATAACCTTAATCTAAAGTTACGAGGATCCATTACAGATATAATCAAATACAATTTTCTATATTCCATGAATCAAAAGCACCGTATGTATTAAGAGCCTAGTTTGTCTTTTTGTTCCTGCCTTCTCTGAAACAGTGTATATCTGATTTCTTGTGTTATATTGCTCTGATGTCTGCTAAGGGCACCATGCCCTAGAAATTCACATTAAATAACTGAGACCGAGCACTAGAAATGAAAAAAGTGAAATACTATCTAGACAGCTGGAAGTAAAAATATGAAAAGTGTTGCACTTACAGAAGGAAAAAAAGCCTATTTTTATGACTTGAATAGACAGTTTGGTATAAAGAGAAATTTCTCACCCAAGATCAGACGTACAGCTGGGCTGCAGCAGGCAGCCTGGGATCCTGTAATCCACGGTGTGCTGGGCACAGTATAGATACGGCTTCGGGATTTGGGTATGGGTGCTGACTGTGCAAAGGCACAGATACTTCCAGACTTGCTGGGCTGATGGTCACTTCAGCCCAGGACATGTTGTGGCTTTGTAAGTGCATGTGCATCAGGCTTTTAATGGAGACCCTGCAGACGGGGTGAGCCTGTGGCCAGATGTGTCTGCAGCTGTGAGCTCTCTCACTCAGAGAGCTTCTCCTTTCATCCTCAGTGGCCCGACTTCCAGTTTATCCTTTCTTTCCCTTTGTTTTGTATCTTTTTCCATTTCTCATCATTGACCAGCATGTCCCTATCCAGCAGCCCCCACCAAGGTCTCTATTTGCCTTTCCTTGCTCTGCTCAGCCAGGGGGTGTCTGAGCAGGTCCCCTCCTGTCCAGCTCATGGACGTGCCCTGGGTCCAACTAATGTTTCTGGGAACAAGTGGCCAGGGGACACTTTATCAGGAGAGCCTGGAGGGAGCTGTTGTGGTTTGTTAAGCGCTCATGCTTCCCACCAGGAGTTCCCCCCATCTTTGAGCACAGTTTTCTAGAAAGGGGTGTATGTGTGACCTGTCTGTGGCCCGGCACAGGTCTCTGATGTGTCAGGGGGAGCCTGCCTGGAGCCATCTCCTGTCCTTATCACCTCATCAATTCTCCAGGTGTTCTCTAGTCCCATCTGGAAAAAAATAAACCTCTTCTATCTCCTCAGCGTAGCCCACTGATTTATCTGTCTGGGGTCTTCTCCATAGGTGCTTGTCCATAAGAAGGCATGCTTCAATTTATTCATCACACAGGACTTTTTTGCTGCTTCCTTCGGTATTCCGTAGGGTATTTCCGCAGCTGACCTGCACTGTTTGGCTTTACAACTCCCAGCAGGGAAGGCCCTCTCTAGAAGAGCACTCAGACACCGTGGCACTGCTGGTGCTCTGGACCTTGGCTCCACAGCCAGTCAGGTTCTGGGGGCACTGGTTGGGGTCTCTTGGTTCTTGCCCTCCACGATGTTTCACCTTGCACCAGAGGTGGCTGTGGTTCCTGAGGGCGAGTGTCCCTGCATGGGAAACCTGGCTGAGGCTGCGGAGGGGTTTTCCTGAAACAGAAGCAGTGGTGGGTCTTTTGTGCCGGTATGGGGGGGGGCAGCTGTCAGGGTATGTTGCAAGCTTGCTGCTGAATTTTAGGGTGAGGAGCAAAAGATTGTAAAAGGGTAATATTCTGTTGGTAATTAGGACAAAATTAGTGTCTGTGTAAAATCAACCAAGTCAATCAGTGGATGTGAGATGCTGAGAGAGTCCCGCTGCAGGGGCTGGGAAATGCAAGGAGCCTGCTGGGGGCAGTGAGTGGGAGAAGGATAACATCCTTCAGCTGGGTGGGATGCTGCCACAGCCAAGATGAGAGAAGGAAAGGCAAGAAAGACTGAAACCTGATGTTGGATTTCTTTGCTGAGAGCTGAGGATCAGCCAGCTAACGAGGCAGTGAGTTCTGAGGGCAGAGGAAGAGCTCAGGACATGGTTAGTGCTCATTAGCAGCCAGAGATGTGAGAGCTGTCAGCATGGTGGTGCTTTGCGCTGGCCAAGCCTTTGACTGTCCCTGGAAGGAGGGCTCGCCCGCTGATCCCGGTGGCACAGCTCCTAGCAGCTCCTCAGCCAGAACAGCCACTTTGAAGCTGCAGTGCTAAAGGCTTGAGAAATTAATTTTGCCTGTCAGAGATTCAAATGTAAGTGTGTGAACTGTAGTTCAGCAAGGTATGAACTCACCTGGCTGCGCTCCAGCTCTGGGAGTGCTACTCACTGCAGGGGAGGGGAGGCCAGCAAGTACCTGCCTGTGTAAGCTGGTATTGTCTTCCACATAAAACATGCCCTTAATTAATAGCTAGCATGAACCTAAGCCACTATCTCTGTTATCAATTTGTGGATGTGGTTGGATTGTCTGTCTCCCAGGACAGTAATATCCCTTCATCTTACTGCAAATTGCTCGCAGCATCCTTCTATTACGCAGGCTTAATGCTTGAAAAATAGAGATTTAATACTCCACCATATCAGACTAAGTGAGGTCAAAGCAATTCATATTCACGATCCCACAAAGCTCCCTGACGGTGTTCCTGTGAGAAATGTGATGTGGAGGATGCAAACTGGCGAGGTCCTGCCCCAGCTCCCAGCTGTCCCACACTGACAGGGACCAGGACAACCACCCACGGTGGAAGCATTGGCTCATCCCTTGGAGGAGAGTGGGTGTGCACTGGGTGGGGAGCTGTGGGGTCCCTGCCAGGCTGTGCCAGCCCCTGACCCAGCATTGCTGCCGCCTCTTCCTGCATTCCCTGTTTTGCCGGGTTTTCCTAGAGCAGAACGGCAGCAGCCTGTGTGTTTTGTGTGTGTGATAGGATCAGAGAGTGCTGCGGGGATTCCCAGGGTGCTGGAGGTTCCCTGATGTGTTTTTAATGAGCAGGCTGAGTGTAACTTGTGTGCAAGTTTCCTCTGAACTGCTGGTTGTCACCTTGGCTCTGGGCAGAAAGCCTGCAAGTAACACATCCTGTGTTCACTTGTTTATTTTTGTCCTGAAACATGTATATTTTGAGAGAAAATAATAGCTGGTGTTTGTGTGTTTCCTCCCCAGCAAGAAAATATATATCTCCAGGGTTGATGCATATATTGCCAGGATGCGTTCCTTCTGCATTTGCTTTTATGTGTGTGCCAGGATGTGGATTTCACCTGCAACTCATGAGGAAATATCTAAGCACATAAAATAAATGGGAAGTTCAGTTTGGAGGGATTTATGTGCAGAAATTAAACATGGTTTAGGAGAAATATCCCTTTGCCCTGCACAAAACTGGTGTAATGAACATAATTCTCCTGGTGTGAGCTGAATGTCCAGGGGTTCTGCCCTCCCTGACTGCAGTGCAGTCCTGGACTGGTGCACACCTTGATGTGAAGCCTCAAGGATGGGAGATTCCTGGCCGAAGGCTTGGGAATGGGACATAGCCTGTGCTGGAACAAACCAGGTGGGCTCTGAGGTGTGCCAGGACTGGCTGGGACCATGCAGGCGGTTTGTGGGCAGGGGCTGCTCCCTGGCCCTTGGGCCCAGGGGGCCAGGCGGGATACAAACAGTCTCCAAAGAGGGGCCCAGGAGTAGTTGCACAGAGGAGGTGACAGGCTGTTCTGGGAGACAGGAGGGGTTGGTTTGCCTTTTCCCATTGCTGTCTGTTCAGACTGGTGCAGTCAGGGGCTTCTGTTCAATCCCAAGGCTGTGACCATCCACAGGATGCTGCGTGCTCTGCCAAGGGTCATTTCCAGAGGTCCCAGGACCCTGAGCTGGCTCCATTGTGGCTCATCCCCATCCGCTGGCTCCAGCACTCTTGTGTGATACTGGAGGTGGCACTGCAAAGGCTCCATGCTTCTTTCCTGGCCTTAAGAAGCTCCCTCTTAGGGAGTTAGACCTTGGAAATGGGATCTCTGATGTGTACCTCTGTTAGTGGGCAACAAAGGGAAGATTTATATCCCTGTGTTCAAGACCTGCAGGAATTCCAAGAATCCTTTAAGAGACTAAAGATGATCTGTATTATAGACTATGTTTTCCTTGAGTAAAAGCTATATACTATGTAGAAAAACTGTAGTTTGCTTCAACACTGGAAAAGTAGGATTTTTTGAAACTTGGAGGTAATGAGACTGGGACAGGGCTGAGGACTGCCATGAGAAGATGAGACCTGTGCATTTGTCAGCAAGAACCTGGAGGGGGGAGCATGGCTATCTCTGCTCCAGAGGAACACATCCTGCTGGGAAGCATCAGTGCTGCCATGGTGGAGCAGGCTGCCTTCTGCGTGGACCATGCTGGGCAGCAGCCCTTCCAGTGAAAACACTGCTTCTCACAAGAATGGATTGTTTCCAAGCCTGAGGAATTCAAAGAGTGAAACTGCTGCTTTAAAATTAGGTGTCACAGCTCACAGTGATGGCTACACAAGTGCACTGATTACAGCAGGAGGGGTGGCTGCAGAGCCGCTGGAGTCCCCCGCTGGGGCCATCTCCTGGTGACCATTGGGCTGATGGAGTCGTGAGTGGAACCTCCACAGTGAATGATTCCGGGAAAGGAACTGCCAAGCGAGTGTTGTCCTCCGAGGCACAGTGACACGCAGATGAGCGCTGAGGGGTGGCTAATTGCTCAGGGCAGGCTGACATAATGGAGCAGTTCTGAGAGCACCTCAGCTGTGGAGGTCAGCAGTGACGCAGAAGGCTTAATTTTTCATAGCGTGCTCCTTGTATACTACAGCTCCTCCTGTAATGGACTAGCAAATTACCACACTATTTAAAAGGCAGCAATTTATAACATTTTGATAACTGTGTGCTCCTGAGCATATGTCAGCTGTGCCTGTGGACAGAATGAGTGAGAACGCTCCCCTCCCTGCAGCGTGGGCACAGGCATATGGGTGCACACATACACATGTGCCTCTGCCATCCCAGCACCTCCCCTCCAGCGCAGGTCAGAGGCCTGTCAGGCCTCCTGGAAAAGACCTCTCCCTCTCCCATATGGGTTGTCTCTGTCCTATCCCTGCTCATTTCAATGTGTTGCTGGTTTAGGGACCCTGATGATGTTCTGATGCCCACCCAGTCTCACTGTTCCCTAATGCAGCTGCCTGGTGTCCACGTGGGTGTAGGCAATTGCTCTGTGTGCACCTGCCTGTTCCCGTATTTGCACTGCCTCCTGCCATGGGGGAATTTACTTCAATCCCCAAGAGGTGTCGAGGTGGTCACTCTCACAGAGGAACTGCAATCATGAGGAAGTGGCAGGGCTCATGGAGCTGTACTCACCTGATTTACAAAGCTCCAGGGTCAGAAGGCAACTGTTTTTTAAGATCTCTGCTTAACTATTTGGTAGGAAGGTGCCTTCAGGCTCCATCTCAGGTGCAGCTGCTCCTGTGTCTGTGCACTCTCTGCAGACACACTCGAGTCACCATGCACACATCTGGGTGTCCCATTCACTGTATTTCAGATATGTGCTGGCCCTCTGCTGCTGCCCTCCTGCACAGATGCTCTCTCTCCTTCATAGGAGAAATCTCCATTTCTCACCAAGAGGAGTCTGAAGAATTGAGTGCCCAAAGAATTTGCATGGAATTATTCATCCGGCTCAAGTAAATAAACCCTCATCCCTGGGTTATGGCAGCAGGTCAGCTCTTCCTGCACAAATCGGGCCCTCTGCAATTTCCTCACCAAAGCTGCTGCCTTTGGCAGAACTGCTGGGCGCCGTGTCCTGGGAGAAGACAGCAGCGAGAGCTGAGTGCCAGAATGGAGCCCAGGCACTGGCGTATTCCCGTGTCACACCACAGGAGTGAGCAGAGCGCAGGACAGCATGGGGCAGAGAGCCAGGAGCTGTGTTTGGGTGGACAGTTGGCAGTGAGTGTGCCCATGGGTTTTACAGCAGTATTCCTGCATTAGCACCACAGCAGGGGGTGTTGTTAACTGTCTGCTTTCCCTCTGGAGTGGTGTAACTGCTCCATGCAGCAGAGATGGGTCCAGTTAATCGGACAGATAGAAGTTGTTAATGCACCTTGGAGAAACGTAATTTAATTGGAAATTATTATTATGTGCTGCTCCTATGTAAAGAGTGTGAGAATCAGCACTAATAGCTCTGTATGAACATGACTTAATTGCTCTGTGGTTCTGTGATTTAAGCTTCTTTCCAGGTGTGCTTTTGTTTCACCGATGTCTCAGGTGGGATGCAATGACACACTGGGGACCAACGAGGTACAGTCCCATGAGTCGGGGCTGTCAGTTCTCTTTGTGCTGATTCTCTGGTGGAGCTTGAGTCCGTGATTTGTCTTTGAAACCCGCAGGGATCTGCTCGGGTTGCTGTGTGCTGAGGGCTCCTGGGAGCAGCATTCCTAGCTGGTGGGGTCAGCCCACGCCTGCCTCACACACTAAGGCAAAGTCTGTTCCCTGCTGCACTGTGCTGTCCAGCTCAGCTTGCCTGCCTCACCACGTTGTCCCATTCCAACAGGATCTGCAGGACGCTCCTTCCCTCACTGTGCACAGACCATGCTGGGGGTGGCACATGCAGATGGGCAGTGCTGGAGGGCACAAGCGACTGCAGTGGCTCCTTGCTGCTCCCACACAGACTGTGGATGCCATGGGGTTACAGCTGGCCTCGTCAGCAGCAGGAACGGAGCTCCGGCGTGTCCCTCTCCATGGTGCAGGCTGGGCACAGGTATGTTCACCTGTGCAACTAATCAGCAGTGACTGTATGAGAGGTGGAGAATGGAGCCTGTATAACTTGCAAAGAAAATGGCAAACCGAGGAAGGGAAACTTTCTCTCCTGCAGAGCTGTGAAGCACCCCTGGCTCACAGACGTCTCATGGTGTCTTTTGCAGGAGTGGTGCTTACATAGGTGAGGAGAAAGCGTTTTTGCAACAGCATGGAAGATGTGT